TGAATACACTCCTAGTTATGTGATACGGATACACTCCTAGTTATGTGATACGGATACACTCTTAGTTATGTGATACGAATACACTCCTAGTTATGTGATACGGATACACTCCTAGTTATGTGACATGAATACACTCCTAGTTATGTGATACTGATACACTCCTAGTTATGTGATACTGATACACTCCTAGTTATGTGATATAGATACCCCTGAGTTTAGACTCATTCCAAGTTAGGTGATATGAAAACACTTTGAATTATGTGATATGGACAAGAATCAAAACTGTACAGTTTTCCCCTCCATACAATTCAAACACAGGTTCAATGCTGTACCACAATCATAGCATGGTCATGTAATGATATAACTAAGAATTTACCTCATTTCTTTTGATATGCATGTTCCATACTACAATCCTGTTATCAGCTCCTCCCGATAATAACTGGTGAGATTGTGAAGAATATGCTAATGCTTGAACCTTTTCCCTGAAAAAATACAATTCTATTATATGGTTAACATTTTATAATCTTTCCCAAATCACCAATCGTTGGGCTTCCACTAAAGCTCTGATAGTCGCCAACGCATGGGGCTTTCAGTAACTCTTTGTCAGTCGCCAATGCTGGCGCTTTCAGTAACTCTTTGTCAGTCGCCAATGCTGGGGCTTTCACTAACTCTTTGTCAGTCACCAATGCTGGCGCTTTCAGTAACTCTTTGCCAGTCGCCAATGCTGGCGCTTTCAGTAACTCTTTGTCAGTCACCAATGCTGGCGCTTTCAGTAACTTTTTGTCAGTCGCCAATGCTGGCGCTTTCAGTAACTTTTTGTCAGTCACCAATGCTGGCGCTTTCAGTAACTTTTTGTCAGTCACCAATGCTGGCGCTTTCAGTAACTTTTTGTCAGTCACCAATGCTGGGGTTTTCACTAACTCTTTGCCAGTCGCCAATGCTGGCGCTTTCAGTAACTTTTTGTCAGTCACCAATGCTGGGGTTTTCAGTAACTCTTTGCCAGTCGCCAATGCTGGCGCTTTCAGTAACTTTTTGTCAGTCACCAATGCATGGGCTTCCACTAACTCTTTGCCAGTCGCCAATGCTGGCGCTTTCAGTAACTTTTTGTCAGTCACCAATGCATGGGCTTCCACTAACTCTTTGCCAGTCGCCAATGCTGGGGCTTTCACTAACTCTTTGCTAGTCGCCAATGCTGGCGCTTTCAGTAACTTTTTGTCAGTCACCAATGCTGGGGTTTTCACTAACTCTTTGCTAGTCGCCAATGCTGGGGCTTTCAGTAACTCTTTGCCAGTCGCCAATGCATGGGCTTCCACTAACTCTTTGACAGTCACCAATGCTGGGGTTTTCACTAACTCTTTGCTAGTCGCCAATGCTGGGGCTTTCAGTAACTCTTTGCCAGTTGCCAATGCTGGGGCTTTCACTAACACTTTGCCAGTTGCCAATGCTGGGGCTTTCACTAGCTCTTTGCTAGTCGCCAATGCTGGCGCTTTCAGTAACTTTTTGTCAGTCACCAATGCTGGGGCTTTCACTAACTCTTTGCCAGTTGCCAATGCTGGGGCTTTCACTAACACTTTGCCAGTTGCCAATGCTGGGGCTTTCACTAGCTCTTTTCTCGTCCCCAATGCTGGGGCTTTCAGTAACTCTTTGGCAGTCGCCAATGCATGGGCTTCCACTAACTCTTTGTCAGTCCATAATGGTGGGGCTTCCACTAACTCTTTGTCAGTCGCAAATGGTGGGACATCCACTAACCCTTTGCCAGTTGCCAATGCTGGGGCTTCCACTAATTCTTTGCCAGTCGCCAATGCTGGGGCTTTCACTAACTCTTTGTCAGTCGCCAATGCTGGGGCTTTCACTAACTCTTTGCTAGTCGAAAATGCTAGGGCTTTCACTAACTCTTTGCTAGTCGCCAATGCTGGGGCTTTCAGTAACTCTTTGTCAGTCGCCAATGCTGGGGCTTTCACTAACTCTTTGCTAGTCGAAAATGCTAGGGCTTTCACTAACTCTTTGCTAGTCGCCAATGCATGGGCTTTCACTAACTCTTTGCTAGTCGCCAATGCTGGGGCTTTCAGTAACTCTTTGTCAGTCGCCAATGCTGGCGCTTTCAGTAACTTTTTGTCAGTCACCAATGCTGGGGCTTTCACTAACTCTTTGTTAGTCGCCAATGCTGGGGCTTTCACTAACTCTTTGTCAGTCGCCAATGCATGGGCTTCCACTAACTCTTTGCCAGTTGCCAATGCTGGGGCTTTCACTAACACTTTGCCAGTTGCCAATGCTGGGGCTTTCACTAGCTCTTTTCTCGTCGCCAATGCTGGGGCTTTCAGTAACTCTTTGTCAGTCGCCAATGCATGGGCTTCCACTAACTCTTTGCCAGTCGCCAATGCTGGGGCTTCCACTAATTCTTTGCCAGTCGCCAATGCTGGGGCTTTCAGTAACTTTTTGTCAGTCACCAATGCTGGGGCTTCCACTAACTCTTTGCTAGTCGCCAATGCTGGGGCTTTCACTAACTCTTTGCCAGTCGCCAATGCTGGGGCTTTCACTAACTCTTTGCCAGTCGCCAATGCTGGGGCTTCCACTAACTCTTTGCCAGTCGCCAATGCTGGGGCTTTCACTAACGCTTTGTCAGTCGCCAATGCTGGGGCTTCCACTAACTCTTTGCTAGTCGCCAATGCTGGGGCTTTCACTAACTCTTTGCCAGTCGCCAACGCATGGGCTTTCACTAACTCTTTGTCAGTCGCAAATGGTGGGGCTTTCACTAACTCTTTGTCAGTCGCCAACGCATGGGCTCCCACTAACTCTTTGCCAGTCGCCAATGCTGGGGCTTCCACTAACCCTCTGATCAAATTCAGAACATTTGAAAAGCATCATCAAGATTGGGTTGATCAGAATAGTCTTGTATAATCTTCCAAAATATCTGATACAAATTTATGCAGCACTAACTTGTAAGCATGAACACGTATCATAAGCTTTTTAAAATCTGCATTGTTTTAATGTTCAAATATAAGATCTTGTATGACAAAGTGCCAGTCTATTTTTCTTACCTCCTTAATATTCACATACATGTACTAACTGTTAGAGAAACTTGTTTTTGTCTACAATTGATTTAGTTGAACCTTGTTATAAACTGGAGCAATATGGAATGCAGGCATTTGAAGCTGCAGCTCCAAAGCTATGAAATGCGCTACCAGTATGTCATCTTTATAAGCCTACTCTATCTTCACCTACAAACCAACCTCCTTCATAAATCATATTGCAACACAAAAGTTTATTAAGCATTTTTGATTCAATGTTATCAATTTAAACAATTTTATTAGTTCATGCAAAAATTTCCCACTTTTTAGTTGGGGTACAACATTAGGTATATCTATGTTACATTATAGTAGCAGATTTTAATTTGCTACATGAACCTGAAAAATGTTATAGTCTGTGTTTGTCAAACGGTTAAACAATTAAGTAGCTGCTTAGTAGTGGCCACCACGACTAACAGTAAAAAATTAGGTTATATACAATATACATGTAAACAAACTATGCGAAAGACTTACGTGTGACCTTGCAACTCATATGCTGTTCCTTGCTGTCCACCAATGTCCCATACAATAATGGATTGATCAAAACTAGCAGAAAACAACAGTCTTTTTTCAACATCCCATGCAAGACTACGTATACTACCTGTTGAGTAAAACAATAAAATCAGTTTCAACTATTGAATTGTCTACTATATTAGATTGTAGTTTGATAAAGTATTGTATTTCCTAGAACTTCACACAGAGAGGGTACAAGTCAATTTACTGACCCCCATTATTACAATATATTTGAAACAATCTTAAAAGCTACAAGATCATTTTTGTGACGTACTTCAACCCCAACAAATTTACAACAGCTGAATAGCATAATGATTACACAGGGCGCATCATTCCCAACCTGTAAATCCACCTCTTAAGACATTATAAACTTACCTGAATGGCCTACCTTCCATCATTCCCAACCTGTAAATCCACCTTTTAAGACATTATAAACTCATCTGAATGGCCTACCATCCATCATTCCCAACCTGTAAATCCATCTTTTAAGACATTATAAACTCATCTGAATGGCCTACCTTCCATCATTCCCAACCTGTAAATCCATCTTTTAAGACATTATAAACTCATCTGAATGGCCTACCTTCCATCATTCCCAACCTGTAAATCCATCTTTTAAGACATTATAAACTCATCTGAATGGCCTACCTTCCATCATTCCCAACCTGTAAATCCAGCTCTTAAGAGGTTATGAGTTTACCTAAATGGCCTACCTTCCATCATTCCCAACCTGTAAATCCAGCTCTTAAGAGGTTATGAGTTTACCTAAATGGCCTACCATCCATCATTCCCAACCTGTAAATCCAGCTCTTAAGACGTTATGAATTTACCTAAATGGCCTACCTTCCATCATTCCCAACCTGTAAATCCAGCTCTTAAGACGTTATGAATTTACCTAAATGGCCTACCTTCCATCATTCCCAACCTGTAAATCCAGCTCTTAAGACGTTATGAATTTACCTAAATGGCCTACCATCCATCATTCCCATCCTGTAAATCCACTTTTTAAGACGTTATGAACTTACCTAAATGGCCTACCATCCATCATTCCCATCCTGTAAATCCACCTCTTAAGACGTTATGAACTTACCTGAATGGCCTACCATCCATCATT